CATTGACATTTTTCCATGTTTTATTAAATCTTTATTATGTCAAGGTAAATAGAGGTTAATTCTGCTGTTATCTCTTCCAGTAAAGTATTATCTTTAATCTTGCATTAATAAAACAGTAGTAAGTTGCACAATGTGTTGCACAAAGTCACCATAGACTAATTTAGACCATTCTAAAATCTTGGCTTTACAGTACACCGTAGTTTAAAATAGATGTTACCAGAAAACATGGAACATAATTTAACTTATAGAAAAAATATGTTTTTCTCTAGGAAATGTACAGCTACATTTCCTTAATACATTGACTTATTTGCAATATAGACTACAAACTTTCAGTTCTGCTCTTCCTTTCCAGTGTTGCTTTATCTTTAGTTACTGCATAAGCTCCTTTGGCTTGCCTCAGAGACAGCACAAACTATTAAGTAGAAGTCTTTAGTCCTCACTTTGAGCATTTTTCTGTGGTCAGCATAGAATGCAAAGTCCCAAGTCCTTGATTCCTGTGTATCTCTCTTCAGTCATAGATACCTAAAGGGGTACACCAAACTTCCCTGCACTGTAGTGAGGGCAACAGACACTCACTGCAACATTGCTAATGTCTGCTTGCTCCCTACTCTTGACCCACAAAGTCTCAGCTGGCTCATCATTCTCCCCTAGGCAGAGTTCCAGGCATCTCTGCAGCTTTCACATACAGGTAAACTCTTCCTCCTTTCCATCCTAGCCCGTCCCTCCTGAAGGTCTGGTGTCCACCTACTGCAGCCCTGCAGTTTTGGAAGCTGTCCCACAATAACCATGTGATCCCAGTGAGTTCCTAGCCCTTCAACAGCATGCACACCTCAAATTTCTTTGTTCCTCATGCTGTGTGCTAATGCACATTTAGATGCACTTTACAAAACTTAGAAAGTCCTATCCCTTAAAAAAACAGATTTCACAACTCAGTCTGTGCATGCACTTTTTTTTCGTCTTTTTGGGAGGGGTTTATTCAACCTAAAGGGATGATATGCCTCTTATTGCACTTTAGCCTGCATGCTGTGGTGGTTTTGTGGTTTATTTATACTACTGTAATTTTCATATATCACAATCTTTTAAATTTATTTAAACATATTTCACTAAATCACAAAGCAACAATTTTTTTTGTTATTATTAACTTTAATTTTTGTTTTCATCAAACTACAAAATTCCCCATTGAGTTTCATCAGGTTTGCATAGCAAATCAATCCTCCCATCCTTCTGCACACCACATTTTCATTTTGCCATCTTCTGTGTAAAGCCCACCTCAGACCCACAAGTAAGCAGATGGTCAGTTGCATTTTCTCATGAACTCTATTTTATTACCTTGAGTGTCCATAAAGTTATTATTTTAAAAGCATGTATGTCAATTGATCTGTAAAAGGCATTTACCAAGCAGTTTCAGTGCTGATAGGAAAGAGAGAACTCATTTTGAAAGTGCACTTGAGATCCATACAGCGAGTGGGATAATTCTGTAGTTGCATGCTAGTACAGCAATGTGATCAGAGCACTAGAAGATATTTGCTGCTCTATGCAGGACTAGTTTTCAAGATTTTCTACCAGTTGAGAAGCACCAAAGTGTCTAACCAAAGTTACTCAACTAAGCATTGAGAGATGTCCAGAGGATCAAATTACAAAATAAATAGGTTCTTTTACAAAACAGTAGTACAGTGACATTTTTTTTAGCCCTATCTGTCTACTATGAATCATTATAGGGTGGTAACATGCAATCTTATTTAGGTATTTCATGTCGAAATTCTTTGCAATAAAAATGAAAGTATGTGAGGCTTGTTAGAACTCAGGCTTATTCACAGACTTGGAGTGTAGATATAGCATGTTGAACCTTTTACTAAAAGCCATATCTTGTTTGCCTGAAATTAACTCTTCTAATACATGAACTCCTGCCATTATATTGAGCTACATTATAGCATTTAAAGACAAAAAAGAAGGCAAGGGAACACACAGCTTTTTGAAAGAATCTGGTTGGAGTTTACTGGTATTGCCACAGCTTCTCTTTGGCATACAGGAACTGCTCATACTTGAAATTCAAATGCAAGCCTCTGAGAAGTGAGTCAGGAAGACTCACAGAAAAGGAAACAAATATTTGCATTAATCTCCAAGAGGTGTTTTATATGGTCCCACCTTTTCTTTTTCCTTAGCTGTGGGATGACCTGAAGCAAGATTTTTCTTGTTGGACATGTTTTGGGCAAGGAGCCATTTTCTTTAGTGTTTTACAAACTCTGGCACTAGTGAGGTGGTACATAGATCTCAGTAATTATTGAAAACCCTCTTTAAAGTGGAATTATTCAAAGTGTGCAGGAATCTCTAAGTGTCTGTTCCAGGGACACATTAATACATTAGAAAGGATATTAAAGCTTAGCACAGAGGAAAAAAAAAAAATTCCTAGTGGCAAAATGTAAAACTGCTTAAACGAATTACATCCAGAACTTTGTGTATTTGATCTGAAAAAAAAAAAATCATCTTACAATTGCTCACTTTAAAGCTGCATGTTGGTTTGGGAACTTTTAGGATCCTGGACAGGTTTCATTTCTCTGGTTCACGTAAGCTCTCTGTGTATTTGTGCAACTACTGAACCTCAGAGCATGATTTCTGGTGACCCCATGCACTGTTTGAAGATTTGCCTAATGTGCAAATTTAAGACAATCATTATGTATAGTGAAAAATTATTATCCACCTTTACCCCAGTACTCAGTTGCTAATAGCGGTCATGGCTTGATTAAGAATCCTTCTCAGTTTAATGCTTCCAATTAACTTGCATGGTTTTGTGGCTGACTTGATGGCTCAGATAAAGCCTGGGCTCTTCTGAGAGAGATACCAAGCTTCATTTCTGGACTATGGGATAAGGAAAGCCTTGAGACATGGTTCAGCTCTAACTACTGGTGGATTAGGAATGTCATTCAGACTTGAGTAACTCTAGACTCTTTATAGGAGTCAGATTAAGATATAGAAAAGTGGAGCACTGAGACAGAGTGAAGGCATCTTGCAAGAAATGCAGTCGCTTGAGCCTTGCTCTGGGTCTGAGTGGTAGGTCTGCAAGGAGATGAAAGGCTGGCAAGCCCTGGAGCATGGAAGGCAGAGGCTGGGAGTAGCATGTCCCTCTGCTTGCCACTGGCCTGGCGACAGAGGCAGGCATGATGTTTAAACCTCTCGGTTAAAGTTCACTTTGGTGTGAAAATTACAAAAAAAAAAAAAAAAAAAAAAAAAAAAAAAAAAAAAAAAAATAAAGAAAAGCAGAACCTTATACAAAGGCTATACAGAGCAAATTCTGGTTTTGTGTTGTCCTCAGCCTCATGATTTAGAGATAACAGTGAAGACAGCGACTAGGGGACAGATGTACTAAAAAAACCCCTAAGGTTTTCTTTTTCTTAAGCCAAGAAAACACAGGTAGTTTGAAATGGCAATCTCTTGTACTACATGAAATAAATATTGCAAATGGAAAGGAAAGAGCAAACTGATTACCCTAATATTAAGAGCATCAAGAGGAATTTATAAATACCTTTGCATGTTCAGCACCCAGTCCTGCACAAGGCATGTTAATTCTTGTCACAGAATTTGAAATTCATTTAATCAGAACAGAACCTTTGAGATGTTTCACACCTGCAAGTGCATCAAGTGGCTAAATTTTACAGTCATTCTCCATGATATGACCTACATATCTCATTACAACACCATGTTCCTACATATAGATTTAATATCTGACAGGGGCTGTCATTTATATTTATTCTTAATTTGTGGTAATATTTAATATCAATTGTTAAAGGACACTTCAACATTTCCACTCTTACATATCCCCTTTTTTAAAGGGTGAGTTGATGGTATCTTGTGCACAAGCAGAATACTTCCATTAAACAGGAAAAAAAAATCTGTAGGTTGATGAAAACCAGTTTTAAAACTTCTTTTATTTTTTAAACAATGAAAAACCTATATCTACCTAAATGCATTGGAGTGTTAACCATTTCTGAATGCTTAATGTTGACTGCTTTAATGACGATTGTTCAGTACCCATACAAGTGTTTTGGCACCAAGTAATATCTTGTTTGTTTGTGTGAATATAATCTGAAGGCTGCCACAACATCTAATAAAACTGTTTCCACTCAGTGAGGCATATAGACAGGAATAAATGGCTGTTAAAACACATAGCATCCAAAAAGAAATTCACCACAGCCAGTAACGAACATATCCTTCATTCAACTTCTGATAAGTTTGTAGTGCTGTTTTTAAAAACGTGTTTCAAAGCTTTTCACATATATTGCAAGATATAGGTACATTTCAAGATGAAATGTACTATAACTGGTCTTACTGCTGATACATCTTCCTTAAAAATATTCCAAGAAATAACTCAGAAGAGAGTAGAGCACATCAAAGTGTTGAGATCTGTGTGTATATGCACATCAGGACTTTAACAGTTTCATATCTTCCATGCTTCTAGTGAAAAAAACTAATGCTGTCTCCAAGGTCACCAGTGTCATTTTTAGGGCTAATCAACAAGGTTTTAATGAAAAACCTTTGTCCTCTTATAGACTTAGGTTTATGTCAATCCAACCTCTCCATGTAAGTATCATGCCAGTGATAAAAAACTCCACCCAAATAAATCTGAAGTCAGACAACAATGCAAGATGGCAACGAGGAATTTTTTTTTCACAGCAAAGAATTTTACACACACATATTTGCATGTAAGTGCATCTTCATTTAGATATGTGCACATATATCTATATATTAAACAAAATTATATGCCTCTTACATGTGTTAATATTTAAGATGTTTTCACAGTAAATGGAAATAACAGCAGCTATTAGTTATTTAGCAATTAAGATTAATGTAGTGTTCTTCTACATTTGGAATACAGAACAAGCATAATAATTAGAAAGGTAGGAAATTCAGGAATCTCCAGAATGTAGACTAACTACTTGGTGTAGTATACAGAAATTGGATGTAATTGAACACATATACGCTTATCTATTTTTTTTCCTTTCCAGAGTGGCAAAGACATTGCAGTCCCCAAAGGATTTTTTTTTCCTGGTATGTTCAACTATTTTTAGAATTCCTCAGTGGTGCACCAAAAAGAAGAATTATTTTATCTCTGTGGGGGCCTGTGAATTTCATGCAATGTGGGCTTCTGTGAACAGAGTTCAAAATGTATTAGAAAAAACAGGTTAATTTTTATAGTAAGAGGTTGAAATGTTGAACTGCCTTACTGTGGCAGTGTGAAGCATCCCACAGATAACTGTGGGGGACCAAACTCCTAAGAGCTACACAGAATATAATACTATTTACTGTTTTAATTGTGGGCAAGAACTCTATTCCTTTTTTTGAATTTGTAGTTCCCTTTAAAGTAGAAATGGGGTAATACTTCAAAATCTGCTTAACATATTTAATATCCTTAATTTGATGTTTTTGCTTTCAGATTTGTTTGTATTCAAAATAGCAGCAATTGGCAGCTGAAGTTGAATCATAGCATCTGGGTTCTAGTCTATTCATGACATCAGTATATTTTTACTGCTTGTAAACATGCCCTCAGATCATCACAAAATGTCACAGAATTTGAATAACTAGAAAAAGCAGAGAGAATTTATGCTGCTGTTGCTCCAAACACTACACGCAACGTGTGCTGATGGTGGGGATTGAGTTAGAGACGAACTGGCCCAGAGGAAAGGCAAGAGCAGAACTTCTTATGATGCTCTTCTTCCTCTTCCACCTTCAGTCTGAAATTCAGACTAGTAAAGAGGAAAAGAAAAAAGACTTTGCAGTTACAAGTGGTATGTAGACTGAGAAGGATAAAGAGGGCTTTACTCTCAGAAAGGGGAAGACCCCATTTAGAAAATTGGAAGGAACTCTCTCTGATTTCTCCAGAGGATTTTACTGAATACAACAGGTTTACTACAAGCTTCTGTCAACTGTTTAGTCACCCTGACTATGAATGACATTTAATCCTGTGAGGGTCATACCCTGGGGACTGAAAGATACTATAATAGTGCAGGCTAAGAAACTTATTGTTTTGGGGCAGTAGGCACTTTTCCCCCCAGAATCCTTTTTCAATTAATGAAGAACATTTGCATTGTAAACCTTGAGGCAAATATATACATATATTCAGATCTCCACATGTACTAAGCAGAGGTCCTAGCTGGCAATTTAAAGGAGAGCCAGGAAAGCCAGCAACCATAGGTCATGGAGTCCAAACTCCTTGACAGAGAGGGCCAAGTCCTAGCACAGAAGTCTGATACTTCAGGCCAGAGCAAAGTCCTTGAGACATCAAAATGTGCAATTACAACCTGGTTTCTAGCAGGCAAGAAACCAGTGGAAAATATTACACATGTAATGACTACTTTGTATACTGGCAAAATGCAGGACGCATTTATAACTAATTCAGACATTCCCAAGTGTCTTGAAAAACTGAAAAGTTCTTTCTTACTTGGTCAAATATTAGTGGGGGAGGGGGGGGTTGTTTGAAACTCCATTGAGGTTCATAATCAGTGTATACTTCCACAGTGTTCTCTTGGTTCTGACTGTTATAGGTGGATGTAATTTGGTGATAGACATGAAGAGTCTCAAAAGGACTGCTTCTGAAAACCTATTAAATACCCCAATGTGTGAAAACTCAAAATGCTAAGTTAGTCTTTAGGAAAAACTATCAAAGTGTTTCTTAGAGGATATGACATGATCCAAAATAAGAAAAAATCATGTCTGAATAAGTGTAAGATTTAAGATCAAATATGTTGTAGCCAGATCTCAGCTGGGATGGGGAAGCCTATATTGGTAGCCAGAATCAATCTGTATGTCTCTTGATTATGGTATAGAGTTCTAGAGACCATGGCCTAGAACTCCAAGTATCATACAAAAACCTGACGTTTCCCTTGTGATTGATTGTTTCTATACTTGGATAGAACGTGGATAATAACTGCAAGTTATTAAATAATAATAATAATAATAATAATAATAATAATAATAATAATAAAAAATATATAGAGCTCTACGGTTGCTCACTTTTAGAAACCTTTATGAAATATCATACTTCTATCTGCAACTGGGCACTTAAGAGAAACATAGCATTCATTGTGAGTAATTCCTTTAAAAATTATAGCCTCCTGTAAAAGATATTTTGAAATAAAGATATATAAAAATATCCATATAAAACAATTATCATTTTCCATTTCCATTTCTTACCTAGGATGAATGTTATCATGCTGAAGGGAATCAGTCCCTATGACCTGGGCTTCTGATTTTACTCCCTCTCTAATTATTTGGGGAAAGAGTACTCACTAGGAAAGGTAGTAAATGATTAATTTTATGTGTAGTTTCCTTCTTTCAATGAAAATCTGGTTAAGTTCTCCCTAAAGGAATATTATAAAAAATATTTGTAAAAAAATAGCATCTTTTGGACTTGGAAATCGCCATCATTTTCACAAAACCATCAGGAGATATTAATGTGTTGATGAACATGTGGTGACAACATTAGCTATAAAATCCCTTTGAGATTTGCTGGGAAAAAGAGATCTCCAGATTCAAGTAAAACTTATTGCTTTGCTAGCCCAGCATGAGGAATTCCTGATTCCCCACTTGTCTGCTGTGTTTAAATATTATAACTCAAATATGCTTACATAAAATCTTATTGATTGGAAGAATCACTTGCTTTTTGTGCATTAGTTAATCAGGCTGCTGTTTTGAAATCTGTCCAGGAACCCACAGTGGAACCTTTCCTAATCCATCTGTTTAAGTCTCAAATGGTTTCACTGCTCCAGTCACTTACCAACACTGCTGGAATGTTAGTGCTTTATGATTAAAGGATATTGTTGTTCTTTTCATTCATCATCCTGGAGTTTGCTATTAATAATACAATTTCTTTCTTTCTTTCTTTCTTTCTTTCTTTCTTTCTTTCTTTCTTTCTTTCTTTCTTTCTTTCTTTCTTTCTTTCTTTCTTTCTTTCTTTCTTTCTTTCTTTCTTTCTTTCTTTCTTTCTTTTTCTTTCTTTCTTTCTTTCTCTCTTTCTCTTTCTCTCTTTCTCTCTTTCTCTCTTTCTCTCTTTCTCTCTTTCTCTCTTTCTCTCTTTCTCTCTTTCTCTCTTTCTCTCTTTCTCTCTTTCTTTCTCTCTTTCTTTCTCTCTTTCTTTCTCTCTTTCTTTCTCTCTTTCTCTCTCTCTTTCTCTCTTTCTTTCTCTCTTTCTCTCCCTCTTTCTCTCTTTCTCTCTTTCTCTCTTTCTCTCTTTCCCTCTTTCCCTCTTTCCCACTTTCCCACTTTCCCTCTTTCCCTCTTTCCCTCTTTCCCTCTTTCTCTCTTTCCCTCTTTCCCTCTTTCTCTCTTTCCCTCTTTCCCTCTTTCTCTCTTTCTCTCTCTCTCTCTTTCTCTCTTTCTCTCTCTCTCTCTCTCTCTTTCTCTCTCTCTTTCTTTCTCTCTTTCTCTCTTTCTCTCTTTCTCTCTTTCTCTCTTTCTCTCTTTCTTTCTTTCTGTCTGTCTTTCTGTCTGTCTTTCTGTCTTTCTGTCTTTTTCCTTCAAAAACTGCCAGATTTTCTGTTCTTCGCTGTTTTCCCTTATTCAGATCACTCACTATACAAAAACGAAGGTAGATGATTAATAAATTGGATCAGTGATTTCTGGAAAATATGCATTGCCTTGCAGTATTTGAGAAATGAATGGGGGAAAGACAAAAGAAAATTAAGGTAAATGCTAGAGAAGAAAAGGTGGAATTGTAATTGGACACATCAAACTACAGAACTGTGTGACTCCTGAAACATATATGAATATCTTCCTACTCATAGTAATGTCTAAATCCATTTTTTCAGCATATGCTTCTGATTAAATGATATTATTGGGAAAAATCTGAGATTTAATTTCTATTCAGGTATGCTATAGTATGTGAAAAGAGCCCACTGTACTTCTCTAAAATAGCTAAGCTGGTTATAATAAGTTTTGATCAGTGACATTTCAGATTAAATGAGGAACCTTAGTTTATCTATCTCTCTCCAAAGGAAACAGGACTTAAATTAAGAAAACAATAAGGATTTTATTTTTTTTCCTTTATAGGCGGATAAGAGTCATGGATGTTAAAGGAGACACTAATCAGGCTGTTGTGAAAGATCTGATACCAGCTTTGGTCAAAGGGGTCGAGTGTCATCCTGAGAGTGCTCCTCTTTGGGACAGGAAACCGACGGAGCGAAGCCCTGAGAACATGCCGCGACACTTCATATTCAATCCACAGACCTATAAAGAGATGAAAAATGAGCCTTGTCCAAAGCTCTTACCTCAGCACCCAGTGGCAAAAATAAAATGTGAGCTTGGGACCAGGTCTCTTTGAAGCTGATTTTTTCTATTTTTTTTTCTAAACTCTCTAACAGGCCTCTGGTGGTTACAGGTATTGATCGTCAGAAAGTAATCTGTTCAGGTTTGGGGGCATGCCAGACCGAATCCTGCAGTATGTTCCTTCCTCTCCAAGGACATGTTGAGCTTTTCATACTGTCCACACTGGCATGCTTGTCAGCTGTCTGGCTTCTTTGTCTTTACTGCTTTCCCTGTTTGTGGAAAGCATATTATTAAACCTCCCTTATACGAATATTGTACATTACTCCTCTAGAATTTTCTACCCGTGCTGAAGGTTTTTTACCCCAATTTTTAACCCTCATTTTTCTTCTATAATCATTATTTGATTCCCTCTGGCTGCCTGCTACTTATTTGTAGTAGTACCATTCATCCATTGAGACTTTTCCATCTGTCACACAGTTTTACTTTCTCTCCCCAGAAGCTTTCTTCTCCTACTGTGCCATGCTTGATTTTTTGGGTTTAATTGCATGTTTGTTTGCTCTTTTTAGTATTTTAAAAAATGCTTCAGTATTTAGAACAAATACAAGAAGAAGAGAAAACTCCCAACATAGCAAAGAGAAGCTCAAATCCAGTACTGCACATAGAAACAGGAAGAGGAGACAGATTCCTGGTGAATTAAGGAATCAACACATATAGCCAGGGCAGAACTAGTGGCCAGACCTTGCTCTCTGTGAATTGTTTTCATTGCCTTCCAAATCCTTCCAGTTTTGTGCTAGATAAATAGGTGATGTCAGGAAATGTTGCATTCCCTCTGCTGTACTGACTCCCTTTAGTGTATTGATTACAAAGATGATCTGAGGAAAACCAAACATACTGAGGTACAATACTGTGATTATGTTAAGCAAATAATGTTTTAAAGTGTCAGGCACTGACACCTTACCTAAACAAGATTGTGGTCATATCCTACATTTAAAATTAAATGAGCAATTTTTGTTTTCAGAGGGTAGATATTAAAGAAATGCAGCACTTGTTAGTGTTTCCCAGGTGAAATGCAGGAAGGTCTAAAGCCAGCAGCATAACCCCTCAGAATCATTGTTTTTTCTCTGTGTATCTTCAACCCCTATTAAAGCAAGTTTTAGTTTTTGATGTGAGTAAGAACAGGAAATTTAACAGCAGCTCTACAGATCACTTGCGATTGAATCAAATCTCAAATCTTCAGTCTTGGAGAACTCACAAAATTACCTGCTTCTGATAATATATTTTGAATATCTCTTTATTATTTTCTTCTTCTTTTCCTCATATACATCTCATTGTATCATCTTATGTTCTTGTTTCAAAAGTTCCTGCAAGTTTATCTATATTATTAGGATTGGTAAAAAAGTATGTGTTGTGTTTTCAGAAATCTTTTTTTGTCAGTAGAAATGCTTTCATTGTTTATAAAATTGCTTCTCTGGCTGTATAAAAAGTGCTGGTAGTCTTCAAACAAACACAAAAGCTGTGTGTGTGTCCTTGTTTGAATGACAATCTCCAGAAAGTTTCCTTTGCTACCAGCTACTTCACTGCACTCTTCTGTGAATGAAGTGGGTGGAAAAATATCGGACCCTTACATATGTACTTGTACGGGAAAATGACTGAAAATATAGGTATTTCACAAAAATCCTCTTTATTAAGTGATGTCCTGTGAAAGTAAGGGTCATTCAGACCCTGCTTTTATTTTATCTGAACCCTAAGGTGCTTTGTGAAGGAAAATAAATGGTTGCTTTTCTGGAATAAATTATGAAAATGAAATTTAAGAAAATGAGAAGGCAAAAGGGGAAGGAATGTGAGACAATGCAGTCCCTCCTGAGCACTGAAAACTTTTCTGAGTTTCTTCTCAAGAATAAATGATTAACAATTAATAAGGGTGAAAGTGTTTTTTTGCGTTTGTGTGTAATCACAAATTTGATGGTCCCACTGTACAATCAGTGTACACCTATATCATTCAAATCTACCCTGCCTGCTCTGTAAGACCTTCAGTGGGTGAAATGTCACTGTTGCACAGGGAAGCTAGTCCAGTGCTTTATTAAAATTACTTTTTGTTTCAGAATCTTAGGTCTATTCCTTTTTCTTTCTTTCTTTTTTTTTTTTTTCCTCTTTTTACCCAGAACAGATTAAGCAAATAAATAATTATCTTCTACACCCTAGTCATTGTTCAAATGCCTCCTTCCATTTTCTTTGGTTTAAGGTTAAACAGCTGCAGTTCCATTGGGCTTTCCTCACAGGCCTGATGATTTAACTCCAGCTGACCCACTTCTTTCCAACTTGAGAGCTCAAAGGTACATGCAAACCTTCAGGTGACACTTCCTGGACTGCACAGATAGATCATTTCATCTGCCTTGCAGTTGTTTGTAGTTTTTTTCATGAAGCCTCATCACATTCTTTGACTTTTTTGAGGTTATTCTTAAATTTCTATTAATTCGTATGTGTATACTGCAAGATGATGTAAAATTGACATACTGGTGGCAGTATGAAGAAAGAAGTAGGGCAGGGACTTTGCAGCCATGAAACCCAAAACCAACCCAGTCAGTGGATGTGGTAAACCAAACAAATGGTCTGCATGGTCTTCTGAGTTAGTTTTTGGTAATCTTGTGAGGAGCAGTGAGTTAGATTCTATGATCCTTCCAAGATATTCCATTCTGTTCTGTGGACACATGAGGGAATGCTTACACCAGTGGGAATCTTTACATGTGTAGGAACACATTCTCATAGCCTCACAGAGTCAGGAGCTTGATGAGACAGGATTTCTATTGGCCCTGTTCTGAAAGTTTTATTCCCATATGTGTAAACTTAAGGAAATGGAGAGGAAAAAGAAATAGAGAGGGATTGTGGCTTAGCCTTGGGAATCTGTAGCACAGGGTGAAGGAATTTCACTATGCACTGGGCTTCTATAGTCTTGGCAAGAATGAAAAAAAATAAAGTTAATACTGCACCCAAATAACTGAACAATTTTAATTTTTATTTTTTTAATACAAAATTTAACAATACTAAATCTACACCAATGTTGTCTTCAGGGAGACGTCTGGACACAAGAAGGTCTGTATATATCTTCAAGTGTGTAATCAAGTAGGCTGTTTTTCATGTGAGGCAGTTATTTCTATGTTACTTTTTTTCAGTGGGATTGTGTAAAATCCTTTTATGTACAGCACTAATCTGAAAATCTAGATCTGTCTTCGTGGCCAATATTTTTTGTCTTTTCCTTTTACAATGAACTGGAGTGTCTCTACCCATTAACTGAAGATTTTCTTTTAAAGGCTACTGCTTGTTTTTCCCTTCCTTCCTGCTTCATGCCATCACTTTAAGATTTCAGAGCTATAGACCAGAGTGCTTGTGTTAAATGAATATATTTGACAGGAGTTAAGTCTTTTGGGCATTGCAATAGGTTTTCCTCATCTTGGCATGTGAAGACTGAGAGTGTTCTTTGACACCAGCAGCAGAGGATGTGAGCACAGCAACTTTCAGGGCATCAGAAGTGTCAGCATAAGGAAAAATCAGCAAAAGTAGACAGTGTTGAGGTAATTTTCCCACACCGTGCCATGAATTTAGCCAACTGGTGCTCCTGTGAATTCTGGGCTGACAGAGTTTCCTTCTTTGTTGCTAAATATCACATAAAGTGTTCTGTCAGCATCAAGACTTGTTCACTCCCCTTATGTAGTAAAATAAAAATATAATCCTTATGCCCATGTTTGAAATTTGAGCATAAGTTAAAGAAAAGAAAAAAAAAAAAAAGAATAAACCTTTCCAACAGGCCAAAACTGCATTTTGGAGGTTCATTTTTCAGAACATCATGTAGTCAATGCTGTCGAGAAGAGCTGAAGGCAAAAGATATGTAGGGCACAAGTACTAAAAATTGAAAATCTTACTCCCATTAAAATGCATGGGATTTCTGCCAGTTGCCATAGACATCAGTGGCAGCAACATCCTGCTATTTTTTTTCTGTTTTTACTTTCTGCTTTCCTTATATTTTTATTTATTCTGGAATCCTGAGAAAATGAAATAAAACACACATTGCTGGAATGGTTTCCAGGGTGTATATAAGATATTTACTAATGTTATTAGGATTAAAATTATTTAGTTATGTTCCAAATTTCATAGTGATGATTAGAACCTATAGTCAGGAGGAATTATAGTGGCAGGCTAGAGACCTCTGGTCTCATGAGTACTGATAAATATGATTATCAGTCTGAGTTTTGCTGCACCCAGCTGGGATTTAGGAAAGGTACTTAAGGGCAAAAGTGAAAGGCTGGGATCTTTCTGTGTGGCACAAACATCAGATGAGAAAGTGAAAGCTCTGAATCACCAGAGAGTTTTCAATTTTAGCATGGCTTATAAAAGGAAGATTTCTGCACCTGAAGAGTTTTGCATATATGCATTACTGACAAAGTATGACTGCACATTTGTTTGCACAGTATAATTTCCTCTGTTTTTCTTCTGTTTTAAATTTCTAACCTCTCTAGTAGTGGTATTTTGCATGTAATCCAGATCCAATATCATTGCTCTGTGCCACGACCTTGAAATGAAGTAATGCATTGCAAAAAAAGGGCTGCAAAAGTTAGTCTTTGAAGGAATTTCCTCTCCCTTTCAATGTCCTATAAACTTCTCCAAGTCAGAATTACTGCTGCTTCTTTTCCTGCTTCAGCAGCTGAGGTGCTTAGAGAGCTTGTCCTGTATCCTCCATCCCAGCCATCGCCTGTGGGACAGATTGATGCCCAGAAGTTTGCTCTCTGTCAGGGTTTGCCTTCACTGTTGTTTGCCAAGAGCAAAATGTGGGTCCTAGGCCTGGGAATCCAGGTATTGGCAATAACCTGGCTGCTTTCCTTGGGAACTTCTCAGTGGCTATTTCTATAAATACATCTCCATTTCTTTAGGACTTTACTCACGAAAAGTAGTGACTGAAAAGTGTCAAGAAACACAAAGACCTTGACTGTACTCAAAGCAGTAAAGGTTCAGAGTTGGGAATAACTTTATCCAGTATAGAAAGAAGCCTCTTAGTGTATTTTTCTCAGGTGTCTGACAATGGCCTAGATATCAATCTTTGACACTTGTGTTTATCAAAATGGAGAATGTCCTCCTATAACAAAAGAGGGATCCTGAGTTTCCCCTTTCACTCCTCCTTCTGTCAGTGCTGTTCTGCAGCTCTCATATAAATGGATTAATTTAAACTCAGTGTTATATAGGTTCTTCCCTTTAGGTGTTAATATTTTTATGTTAAAAAAAAGGCTTTAAAAATATCTTCTTGTCCTTTTGACCTCTAATAAAAATGTCATGATTTTTCTCAGCATTTTAGTTAAAAACATGAAGTCAAATGGATTTATTGTGTGAATTGATTAAGAAAAAACAAGAAACCTAGATATGTATTCCTGAAAAACTTAATTTCCTAAAAGTACAATATTTTTCTATACCTCATAAATATTATACAGGATCAGCCCTTGAAAGTAAATAAAATGTAATCACTATTGATGCTTTATATGATGTTCAGCACCTTCAAATGATAATCCAGAATTAAATCTTTGTATAAACTAAAGTATTCTGAGTAATTTCACCTTAATTTGCCTTTTGTTTGTGTAACAACCTATGCTGATTTTTTTAAGGCAAGTTAAATACATGGAATAAAACAAGCTGCAAGCACACAAGTTTAAGGATAATTAACACAGCCTTTATGGTGCTTCTCAGTTTTTTTCTGTATGGAAAGGTTGGTAGAGAAGACTGCAGAGATCAGTTTGGAAGAGTAGGTTACTGTAGAAGGCGTGGAAAACCACAAAGCATGTTGCAGTCTTTGTCATGACAGATTGTTGGTCCCACTTCTGGCAAAATAAAAAGACACCTTAAGTTTCTCTGCTTGCAGTGTAATCTGTTTGGAGGCAGCATTTTCAGTTTAGGGCAAGAAATTATTCAACCATGTCCTCCCCCTCCAACCTACACCTCCCCCCACCTTTCTTTATTTCCTTTTTTTTTTTTCCTTCTTTTTTTTAAAATTTTTTTTTCTTTATTAATTTTTTTTTTTTTATTTCACTCATAAAACTGTAATTCGGTTTTCTGGGAAAGTACATCATCCAGTGCTTCCCCACGTCTTTCCTTGAACTATTTCTTTTGTCTGTCTCCATTACACCCGTGTGCAGTGACACAATGTTTCTGCACAGTGGGAGCCTGCGATCTCTGAAGAGGCTTTCCAGCATTGCTTTTTAGACTGAAATCATTACAATCTTCAATAGGTACTTGGATTTGAAAAACTAGCACATTATTATTCTCTGGACTGTCTGGATGTAAAAAGAGGCTATTTTCTTGCTTCCTTTTATTTATTTATGTCCCTAGGTACACATTGCCCTTACACCTAACTTTAGTTTGTTTGGATCTCAATCGGAGCTGCAATTCAGATGTCTTGTGCTGTTTGTGTTTTTCTTTCATGTAAGGTTTTACATTATAAATGAGAACTCTGTCAGAGAGATTTATATTTTGGTTCTATTAATGCTTTTGAGTTGCACATCCTTTTTTTTTGTACGTGTAATTATCATAGTTATTATTATCACTAACACGGTGCAGCATATTGTAGGGTATGTTACAATAAATGTTATGATGTGTAGCGTAACAGATGTTTGTTAATATGTCTATGATTTTTAAATGCCAACAAGTTGCATAGCTTCAGAGGACATTCAAGTTATCTCATCCGATATCCTCCAAACCACAAGCTGCATCTGTTGTACCAGGAAAACATTACCCTGAGCCCAGAGACTTGGGTTAGGTCAATTTGTCATGGGACACAACAGTTGTTTCCTCCAGCAAGAGGAGGAGATCAGGATTCTTGCAGAACCTGAGGGCTGTGTTGTGAGTAGAAATGGATTAGGAAAGACTTGCCCAGATGATCCTGACTATGCTCTGTGGCCCTTTCTGCAGAAAAAAGGCTCCAGACACCCCCTGAAGTCCTGCTGGACTCACCAGAAAGGAAACTCCTCTCTAACTGTAAGCCTGGTGCATGTTTACCCTGGACATGTGAGCAAGTCATGGTCAAACATTTCAGAAAGAAATAAAAAAAAACAGTGC